CCCTAGCAGACCACATGTTTTTAGAGACAAAAAAATTAGCTGTGCCAATACCTATTTTCATTTCTGGAGCCACATCTTCTAAAATTGTAACAAAAGAACTCAATAAGCAAAATATTTTCGTTATTCTTTTCCTTTAAGTTGCTTTTTATTTGAATAGGAATTCTTGATCCATTATTACTGAGTAAACATTTAATCTTGAAATAATCTCTCATTCTTCAACAGAGCTGTAAACTAAGGCTATTCTGTGCCAAAGGCAATGAAAGCAAGCTCCTCATAGAGTTTCCAGACAGGGAAATATGCCCAACCTGCCCTTGTCCAAATACTATGCTCTTATGGCCCCAGTTGCATTTGGTCTTTCAAATAAGAACATTTCAAAAGCTGCCTATAGCATTATATAGTAATGCTTAACTAAAAATGCATTAGCAAAGCTCAGTTTTTGTATTAATGCTAAAGGGAATCTTTTGTGTTCTGTGAATAAGTGTCCTCTAATTTGTTTTTAATAATCATATTTCCTTAGGAAGGCCACCATACAAAAAGATCCCACCTTTTCTCACGTTTTTGGAAAATCATCTTCCCCACAGACCATTCTCATAGTCACTTTCAAAAAGGGCATGAAGGTTGTAAGTTTTACTGCCATCCAGCAGTACAAGCTGGAAGGAAGGAAGGAATGAGAAAGGAAGGGAGGGAGGAAGGAGGCCATGTTAGATTTTTTAAGCTTTATTAAGTGGACACGGCTTCCCTGAAGAGCAGCAACTCCATCTTCTCACACCCAGGAAGATGGTAAGTCCACCCAGGGAAGACAGGCCCCAGGAGCCTCACCAAAGTCACAGAAGTGTTAATCATGATATGAAAACAAGACTTATGATAATTATCTCTCTCAAAGAAAAAAACTTAGGCACAGGAGTAGTAGTGTGTGATTCATGGTACTGCATAACTCACTTTTCTAACTGGAGACTGTCTTGCTCTTTTCTATAATAAAAATAATCTATGAGCAGATCACTGAGGACGTCATTCCTTTTTACAAAATTGAAAGTATTTTAACAGTAAGTATCAGAAACAGAGCTAAAGAAACAGTGGGAAATCTTCTGCATTCTCAATGAAGTATTTCCATCAAAAAACCAATCCAAGGGTAACCACATCACTTAATGGTTGATTTTAAATATCTGGCTATTTCCAGACACCACAATAAAAGTCAGTGATTACTGCAATTGCTTTTGGTATTTTTATCATAATAATGATGCTTTAATTGCTTTCATTTTTTTTTTCAAGAAAGTAACTATGAAGTTTGCAAGGGCAATAAATGAAAAATTCCAAAAAAGAAAATCATCCAGAAATAGCTCATCATTTCTCATCAGCTACTGAAGAATTTTGAAACTTGAAATAGAACCCAGTAAGCTGCCCTTCCCTTCATTTCCAGATAAAATATTTTGTATGGGGTAGTTGATGTATTTTAAAAAGAACCCCCTCAAAAAGTCTGAATTATAAACCTTTTAAAAATGCATTTGCCAAAAAGAAGAAGAATAAGAAGCAGCAGCAGCAGCAGCAGCAGCATTTGCTTCTCTTTCATATGTCCATGACATACAAGTAGGCAACAGACAGGTAAGCCAGGAAAATCAATAACCAGTTTCAAAGAGGTAATTTCCCTTTACCTTAAACATTCACATTTATCAGAATCAAGTAAGTAAAAGACAAAACTTTGAATCAAAGGCATAAAGAAGTAAAATCTCAAATTACCCTTTTTTAAAAATATTTTTAAAATATTTTATTTATTTAATTTTAGAGAGAGTGGAAGAGAGGGAGAAAGAGAGGAAGGCAAACATCAGTGTGCTAGAGATACATCGATCAGTTGCCTCTTGCATGCCCCCAGCTGGGGACTTGGCCTGCAACCCAGGCCTATGCCCTGACTGGGGATTGAACTGGTGACTCTGTGGTTCGATGGCAGGGGCTCAATCCACTGAGCCACACCAGCCAGGGCTCAAATTACCTTTTAAATTAAATAACATTCTTCTTCAGTTTCTGAGTATGAGCTGCCCCCACTTTCCCCCTCTGTTCTAACCCGCGCATCCACTCTAGGGCCTTGCTTCATCAGCTGCCGCCTCTCCACTGGCTCCTTTCCCTAGGCACTCGGATATGCTAAGGGTGACTCTATCTTTAAGAAAACCCACAAAAACATTCCCTAACTACTACCTCTCCTTTAAGGTACCACCAAGTCCATTCTTCGCTTCTTCAAAATGTTCTCCCTGTTCCTTGTCTGAATCTTCTGCAGCCTAAAAACCTCTCCCCCAACAAACCCACTGGAGCCTCTATCTCTGAGAATTACCACTGTGTCCAATCACTTCAACAATGCTTTCCAGGCCTGACCTCTCCATTGCTTCTACCACCACCGACCATCTCTGTACTTGCAGCATACTCCGTGACAGCAGTCTCCAAGATTAGGTCCTCGGTCATTCATTCACCCATTTACTCAACGAGAGATATTTTTAAAATCTTTTTAAATTAAAAAAATTATTAATTTTAGACAGAGAAAGGAAGTGGGAGGGGGGAGATGGAAACATTGATTTGTTGTTCCACTTATTTATGCATTCCTTGGTTGATTGTTGTACGTGCCCTAATGAGGGATTAAATCCACAACATTGGCTTATCAGGGACAACACTCTGATCAACAAGAGATTTTTCAGTATCTACTATGGGTCAGGCTAAATGCTAAGCCCTGGAGACAAAACAAAGAGCAAGACAGGGGTCATCTCAATTCTGCAAAAGATATCAAAAATAAGAAAGAAGACAACACGAAACTTGTAAACTCCATTTTACTCATCTGGGACTAATTTCTAAAATACTGTTTCATGTAAATAAAAACTGTCACAATTGGTGGTCACCAGATGGGAGATGGGTGAAAAAACGTGAAAGAGATTAAGTACAGATTGCCCATTATAAAAATAATTATAAGAAGAAAAAATAGCCCTGGCTGGGATGGCTCAGTGGACTGTAAACCAAAAGGTTGCCAGTTCAATTCCCAGTTGGGCACAGGCCTGGGTTGTGGGCCAGGTTCCTAATAGGAGGCGCACGAGGGGCAACCACACATTCATGTTTCTTTCCCTCCCTTTCTCCCTCCTTTCCTCTTTGTCTAAAAATAAATAAATAAAATCTTTTTTTAAAAAAGAAGAAAAAATAGTCACAAGGATGTAAAGCACAGTGTAGGGAATGTAGTCAATACCGTAATAACTATATGTGGTGTCAGATTGGTACTAGACTTATCAAGGTGATCACTGTGTAAAGTATATAAATGCCTAATCATTATGTTGTACACCTAAAACTAATATAATACTGTATGTCAACTCTAATTGAAAAATACATTTAAAAAAACCAAAAAACAAAAATGAGAGACCAGAAAAAAATTGGTTGCAAAGCAGACTACAGCTTTGTGATTTATAGATATGACAGTGAAACAAATGTAGGAGTCACTCCTGAGATAAAGCTTTTAAAAACACATTCCTGGGAGATTGTTGCCACTCTTCCCCATTTTAGAGATAAGTAAATCTGAAATCAAATAGGTGTAACAACTTGTCTTAAGACCACAAAGCAAATCTGTGGCAGAGATTTGAGAAACAACAATTTCTGATTTCCAGGGTTAAGGCAAAAACCTGTAATTTAATGTGCAATAGGTTAAAGGAAACATGGAAGAGCAATTTCTACTCTCAGCATGAATAAACTTAGGGAAGCTGTCCAGAACACTTAAGTTTACAACAGCAATGACCAATAATAACTCCTTGCCCGCATGACTTAAAGTGACTTCAGAAATAGTTTTCTTTCAGCATGATCTAACAACATTAAGTCTCTAACTTTCCCTCTCAAATGTTTTCATTGTTTTGTTAAACTTTGGCTGTTAAAAGTAGGATAATGCTATTGTTAAATTGACAAAGCCTGTGTTGAAATTGCTTTTTGACGACCTTGCTTAGATCCCCTGTAGAAAGTGCTACTTGTCTTCTTTCCTGCATTCAGTGTGCTAAACAAGCGAGTTAGTGTTTATCCTCACCAAGTTTGATCCCATCGTTTTAGCCGAATTAAAAACTATCTATGGCCCTGGCCGGTGTGGCACAGTGGGTTGAGCGCCGGCCTGCGAACCAAAGGTCGCTGCTTCAATTCCCAGTCGGGGCACATGCCTGGGTTGCAGGCTAATGTTTCTCTCCCTCCCTTACCCCTTCCCTTCCCCTCTCTCTAAAAATAAATAAATAAAATCTTTAAACACACACACACACACACACACACACACACACACACACACTAACCCACAACTATATATGTATTCCTAGGCTCCATATTTTAAGAAATGCGTATGAAAGCATGCAGCTGTGAAATGACCTAACTGGGATTTCCTTTAAAAATACTTCAGCAAAGGGAAGAGAGAAAGGGAAAGCGATAATGAAAGAAAGAGGAAACATTTTTTTTGCAAATATCTAAACTGTTGAATGTGGGTGATGGCATCTGGAGGCTCATTTCATCTTTTCTCTCTACTTTTGTCTATACTTCAAGTTTTTTTCCCAGTAACTTTTCGCAAAATGAATTCTTTCCGAGCGCAGTTACCGTCCTGGTTATTAAACATGAGTCAATGGCTGCGAGTGTTCTTGTCTCGGGAAGGAAACCGGGCGAAGGGTCTCCAGCAGAGGCGAGGGCTCCTCGGGCTCCTCCCGCTCCGGCCAGGCGGACGCGGGTTCCGCGCCACCACGCGGGCCGAAAGCGCGCACGTTTCCTTGGAGGCTGAATCTGACAACTCACTCCGCGCGCGCCAGGGCTCGGGGCACCGCGGAACTCAGTTTGGAAGAGGCGCACGCGGGACTCCCGCCGGCGGCGCAGGGAGCCCCGACAGACTCCCATCCAGAGCTCCAAGGTCCCGACGCTGGGTGGTCGGCTTGGCCCCCGCAGCCCCCTCTAGCCCTCTGGAGACCGCCTACCCGGCTCCTTCCGTCCCCCCGCCGCGAACCTCGGCCCAACCCGCCGCCTACCGTCCAAGTCCTCGTCCTCATCGGTCTCACTCTCTGCGTTCGCGTCGGCGACAAGGCCGGGGCTGAGCTCTAGATCCTGGGAGCCGGAAGGAGGGGCGGCGGGAGGGCTGGAGGCTCGGGCGCGGGCCTCACGCAGGCGGCTGAAGTAGTCTACCGCGAAGTCGACGAGGTCGGGCGGCCGCTTCCGTAGCACCTCCACCGTGTAGCCCTGCAGCAGCTCCGTGAGGCCCGGCGGGATCTGGATGTGGCTCATGCCGGCGGCGGCCGCGAAGGCAGGCGGGTCCCGGCCGCCGGCGGCCACTGCCTCCGCGCTCCCTCACGCCGGCCTCACGCCCGGGGCCCGCGAGGTCTCCTCACGCGCGACCGCGATCGGGCCTTCCTCGTGCCGTGCCGCCCGTTGGCCGGCTATGCGTTTCCGGGCCGCACGACCCTACGCTGCTTGTACGGCTGGCCTGGTGCGGCCACTGCTGTCACTGGGCAGCCGCCGCCGCCGCCGCCGCCGCCGCCGCCGCCGCCGCGGGGACCGACCAGCGGGCAGGCGGGACGGGCGGGGCAGGAGCCCGGGTTGTGACGCACGCGGCTGCGGGCGTGCGCGCGCGTCCCCGCCGAGAGCCAGCCTTTAGTGCGCGTGCGTCGCCGAGCCGCCCGCCCTTGGCCGGTCGCGGCTACAACAGAGTCGTCGGCGCCTTTCACCTAGTCTTAAAGACCTTTCATTTATTCTTTCAACACGCGCCAAGAGCTTCTGGTTTGCCAGCCCTTACTGGGCAGCAGGGACACAGCCCAGGGGACACATCACCACTTCAGTGTGGTTCTGGCCGTGGTGAAGAGCAAGCGGACCCACTTTAGGAGGTGGGATTCAAGTTGACTTCCAAGCCTGCACAGGATCCAACTTAGGATCTGTAGGAGAGCCATCTGAGCATGGCGAACAGTGAGAACAAAGGCCTGGCAGTCAGGACCACCCTGGCCGGCAGGTGGAATGGTGGAATGACCACAGGACGCTCAGGCAGGTCTGTGAGATGTCAAACAGGGAAGGCCTTGTACATAGTAGGCGGTGTAATGATACAGTAATTTGGGAGCCGGAGGCAGAGAAGCCTGAAAGGCCAAATGTGTTACCTTGAGAAACGGGAATAAGGCCATTGCAGGAATGCCCTCTGTGCCTGTTGTTTTACTTGAGTACTCCCACCAGAATTCCCAGCACTGGGTCTCCATGTGCCTTCTCCCCCCATGCTCCACCCTGGGTTCTGCACTTGATGGTGTTGAGCAGACCACAAGGCAGTGTCATCCTTTGCCCCTGGGGAACGGACACAGGCAAACTGGAAGGACCAGTCTATTTCCCAAATTGTCCCCTTTCACCCACACCAGATTGGAAGTGAATAGGAAAAGGTGAAGACCTTCCTGGAATGTCCATGCCACAGCTGAGGCACTACCAAAAGGCCCAGTGGTCATGGGCAGTCCTCCCTCTCTTTGCTGGGCCCCACCAGAAGGACACCAGCTGTATGTAGGCTTGGGAACCGGAAAGGCTTTTGATTTGGGATGGGTAAGCTCTGCCTGGTAATTACCCTGTATTAATTAAAATTCTCACTAGGACTTGTTGTATTTGCTTGGCACACACCCAGAAGCTCAGTGCTGCAGGTGCAGAAGCCACCCAAGTTCTAGGCCAGGCAGGCCCATGATTCCAAACAGCAGTGTCTCCCTAGTCAAGTTCCTTGACCCCTGGAAGGAGTCTTGGACCACCAGAGGGGAGGGGTAGTGTCCAACTTGTTGCTTGCTGGATCCTTACTGCACACTCTCAGAGAAGGTTTGCTGAATGAATGATAAATTTCCACACAGTGAGCAGAGCCAATTAAACTGCACTCCTGACCGTACGGTGTCAGAATTAGGATTCTTTGCTTTAAACCTGTGCTTCTGATCTCAGAATACAAAGACTTCACAAAGGACAGGCAGCGAGGAGGGGGAGGGTTTTGCAACTCTCCTCTGCTGTTGGGTAGACCAGCCTTTCCAAGTTTTCCTGGAGTCAGCCCACACCCAGGAAACCTGGGTGTGACTCCCACTGTACTACCACACCTGAGAATCTGCCCTCTCTTCAAACAGTCCTACAACCAACCCTTCGGAAGGGCAAAAATCACAACTCCACTCCCTGGTTTGCCCATTTGTCAGGTTTTGTATATTTGACAGGGGAACAGGCACCTGTACAGTTAGGACTCTGATCTCGATTGCAAAATAGAGTAGAGGGAGGCTACTCCAGGGCTGATGAGCTGGGTGTGGTGGGTTCTGCCAGTTGCTCTAAGCAACACCCATCAGTCTCTGCTAGAAGCAGGCTGGCTTGCCTGGCTTGTTGGCAGATGCTCTGCAGCTTGGTCAGCCGGCCAGCCAGCAAACATAGCATTCAAAGGCATCCTTGGACCTGGAGGGAATAAGGCTCCTTACCTGTCTCCACATACTAGCATCAGAGTAAGAAGAGACAGCCAGCTTCTAGGCCCGACTTGACTGCCCTCCCTGACCATCTGGTCCCCAGAGCAGGGATCCATCTCTGCTCCTTCTAGGAAACCCTTCAGTAGGAAGTGAAATACGAAGGGCCTTCACGAATGCCCAGATGAGCTGGCCAGGAAAGAGGGAAGAGAATATCAGGGGGTCTGAGCCCCGAATCTTCTACCCTTACCCTCCCCGGACTGCCCTCATTCGAGCCTGTCCGCCTCCACCACGGGGACTAGCTTTGGCAACCGAAAACCATAGGCAGCAAGAAACCGGGAAACAGCGGCAAGTGATGGGGGGTGGAAAAGGCCAAGATTAGAGCCCTCCCCAAAAGCAAGAGAAATATAGGGCCAATGGTAGAGAAGAGGAGGCCCCAGAGCCCTGACAAGAGCTTAACTCCAAACCTCCTCTTCTCACAATGGGACCAAGTCTCAGAGATGTTTACAACAATGGATACAGGGTAACACAGGTGGGGCACATGTTTAGCCCCACAGCAGTGGGTTTGCTGAAAATGAGCATGGTTGGGTACCTGCTGCTATTTCCGATCAAACTGAACTTCAGGTACTCTTCATAGGATGATTATTCAAAGGTATTTTTTTCTTTCAGGAAGAAGAGATGCCCAAAACCCCCCCGATTCCTCTGGAGGCCTGCTCTTGGCCTAGATCCCCCAATTTACACACCTTCTGCCCTCTAGTGCCCTCTGCCTACTGGGGGGGGGTGAGGTGAACTCAGCCCCAGCAGGAATACCTCCTCCTCCTCTGCCCCAGGGGCCGCTTGTCCAAGCCACTCTAGCGCTGCACTCGTTTCCTGTGCTCGCTTGCCCACCTGACCACCTCTGCATCCCCTGGTTCAGTCCTGCAGGTTCACTTACTGTCTCCTACCGTCAGTTTCTGTCTTGCCTTTGAAGTGTTCATAAGCCAACAGGGAACAGAAGGGATTGGGGAAGTGGGCTATGTTTCCTCTGCCCTCTTCAGCACCTATGCCTCCCCCAGGAGGCCACGGCCTTAGGTCCAGAAAGTCTGGTCTGTTTTAACAAATGTCCTGCTCCCGTGAGTAGTCAATTCCTGGGTCACTTATTACTACTGTACCTGTGTGCCACCTCCTTCCCCAGAACACTGTTCCAAGAAAATATCGGTCTTTGCAGTGGACCTAGTCTGCCTCTGAGACATTGCAGGGCAAGGACAGAACCTAGAAAGCAAGGGAAAGCCCGGCTGGAGGGCCACAGGCCTTCATGTTGCCCAGAGCAGAGAACACAGAAAAGGGAGCCCTCTGGGAGCACCTGGTCCTGGGGCCTTGCCAGGGTCGATTGGGACTCTGCATGTCACCCCGACCCCATTCACAGGCCAGTTGGCCGGGCTTTGACCCTGCATTGTACAGACAGGCCTCTTGGAGGTGGGTCAGGTAGCCCCAGGACGGCCTTTGATAGCATCCCAAGCCTTTCTGCAGGGCTCCGGATATCCAGACACCACTCTATTAGTCCTGCTCTGTTATCAACTTGCCAGTGATCTTGGCAGAGCAGTTTATCCCTTCTGAGCCTTCATGTTCACGTCTCAAAGTGGGGGTAAAAATCCCTACCCATCAAACATTGAGTTACATGGGGATAAAGAGATGAAAAAGAACCCTTGAAGAGGTGAGAAAGGGCATAGTGGGTTCCCACATCAAAAGAACTGTGGGGGAAGAACTGTGGGTAGAGATGGTAGGACCTTTCAGCAGAAATGGCGCTACTACGGTTTCTAATAGGCTGCTGTTGCAACAGCCTGCGCTCTGTCCTTCCCATTTCACCCAGTTATACTCTGCTTTGAGCCTACTATCCCGGCTGGTTGTTTTAACAAACACTGTCTGGCTTCTACTTAAAGCTGTCTGTGACACAGAAATGGCTGCGGAGGGTCCCATCTCTTCCCCTGGCCCCCATCCGAGAGAGGGGAGATATATCAGAACAGGTGGCATTTCAAAGTGCATCATAAAAAAGAAGTGCCAGCCAGGAGGGAGTTACTCACCATCTGCTCTACTCCCTTCACAAATATGTCTCCAGGGGCTTCCCTATTTGACTAAACATCTATTGAAGACCCAAAGGAGTAAAAGAATCTACCACCACTAACATCAAGGAACCAAAAACATTCCATTTTAAAATAGAAGCAGTTTCAAAGGGCAAATTATCCAGAAGCACAGAGTCTAAAAGTGATCCGGAGCCATGGGAACGGCTGGCATTTCACTGGGATGCAAATGCACTCCCAGGGGCTTCCCAGCAAAGGGAAAGGTCTTAAGAAGGTCTCAAAAACTGGGTTGTGCTGTGAACAGCTTCAGGAGATGCATATATGGCCATCTCTAAATCAAAAAGATTAAACAGAGAGACCCCGCAGGAGGAGAGCAGAGGGCACACAATTTTCATCTTAGAATGTTACTTTTTTACTTGACCATAGTTCCTATCTTGCCATCCAGAAGTATCTTCCCAGAAATAAAGCCGCCTTCCTTAAACCCCCAAATCTTCAGCTTCCTGCTAGGTAGGCCACACCCACTCCTGGATATGTGTGGGTCCCTGCCCCACTCACCTATTTACATGGAATGGTGGCTCGAAAGCCAAAGTTCAAGGGTCTCCTTGCAGCTGCAGCAAGCAGGAACTGCAAGTGCAACAGAACTGTGACTGCCAGTAGGGACACTGTCAGAGAAGCCCAGCTCCAGTAGCCTCACCTTCCACCAGGCAAGGACAGACTAGCTTGTGACTCTCTACTCCAACTTCCTCACCTTAGGCATCACCTGGGCGTTCTCCTCAGCCAGATGAGTAAAGCCAGGCTGGTGACATTGGCTCACAGAGCAACCCAAAGCTCCTGTGAAAGCTCCAGACTGCTTTTGGTCTTTGAGAACAATCGATCCTCCACCTCTTACCTCCGACACCCACATAGCTGGGTGCAGAAAGGCTAAGGGACGACTGGATAAGCTGCAGGCTAGGTCCGTGGGGCCTGCACGCCAGGCTTACACTGGGGGTTGTGAGAACGGTTACCAGTCGAGTTGTCCCACCCCACCCGCTCCACCTTAAGCAGCGGGGGCTGGAGCAGTCAGGCAAGGATGGCCTGGCCAAAACTTGCCCCTTTTTCTCCTGCTGGAGCCTGAGGCAACCAGGAAAGGACGCTGGATCCTTGACTGCCTCGACCAAGGCCACAGGCTGCCTGCTGAAATGAGCTAGATTCAAAAGAGGAAAAAAAAACAACTCGCACGATGCAAAAATTAAAAATAATATTTATTGCTTCCTGTAAAAACAGGGGGCTCTCATGGGAAAAGAATGTGCAAAGAGAGCCTTCTGACACCTTGGGCTTTCTCATCCTAGCAGGCTGGGACTGCCGATTCAAAACTCTCCTCGGTGTGCAGGAGGGAAAGCTCTCCGCCTCCTCCTGGGAAATTAGACTACTCTAGATTTGATTTTGATTACTTGCATGCCTTAAAAAAAACAACCCTACAGTTATCAGGCTATCTGCCCCTACACATTTGCTCATTCCACTAGACCATCCGACATGGGCCTCAAGTTCATACCCTCCTGTGTAGGTCAGGATAGAATGATACCACAGAAATCTGGTGGGTGTTCCTGCCTAGGGATCCAAGAAGCTCCTGGTTAGCTGGCTGAAAACATGCATAGCACCTGCAGTAAAAGGCTGAACTTTTCTCTTTCGAGACCAGTGTTTTGGGTTATAGTAGGGCCAGTAGCCAACCAATCCATAGACAGTATTCTGGCTACAAGTGGTATCTGGTCTAGAAGCTACTTACTCCACCTCCAAATCCTCCTGAGATCCTTAGACAAGAGTGAATTCAAGTTTCAAAATGGCAAGCCATGTCATACCAGGTAGAGGATGTCATTAAGGCAAACGGTCTCAACAAGTCCATGCACAGAGCTCTGATCCCACCATCCCCCTCCCCTCGCCCTTCAGGAAGGCCTAGTCCTGCCCGCTGCTCTTCTTCAGTAACAGTTTCCAGCATCCAGAAGCCTTGAGCAGCCTTCAGCCTCAGAAGTTGGGGGCGATCCAATTAAGAAACTTCATGGCAACTTCAAAGCCAAGGAAACAGGCCTGAGAAAGGTTTGGAAGAAGAGAAAAGCCAGCAGGAATTGTCACTATTCAGAGAGACCCCAGCACCGCCCTTGGCTGGCCCTGTCAGGACCAGAACCCCTCCCTAACCCACCCAAGTCAGGGAATCAAGCTGTGCTTTTTCATTCCCAAGAGGGGAAGAAAATGCATGTCCCACAACTGTACATTTCTAATGGCCAGGTCAGGTCATCAAAGGCCCTCATTTCATAAAGTCACAAAGGCAAAAATCTTCCTGACATCTTCAGGAAAGGGAGCAAATTAAAAGGTTCTGGTCTCTGGCCATACCACCCTGAATGCACCCGATCTCGCCTGATCTTGGAAGCTAAGCATGGTCGGGCCTGGTTAGTACCTGGATGGGAGAAGGCCCTGGCTGAGGGTAGGCTCTTTGGGAAAACTGAGCCCCTGATCCAACCCCAGAAGCAGGCAAAAGTCAGCCTGTACCTTGTTCTGAACCCCAAAGGGCAAGCACAGCTCCTGCCGGCCACTTACCGCATTGGCCGGGAAGGCTCGGATCATCACCGCATTGAAACCTTTGTACAATGATGCGACTCCTTCATTCCGGATCAGCTCCCTCAGCACATCTCTGAAACCATTAGGATATTTTCCAGGAGGTGCTGTGGGCAGAACCCAACTGTTAAGGTTTCAGGAAGCTTCCTGACCTGACCACGGTGACCCAGATGAGAACAATCTTATAGTCAAGTCTTCCTGCAGGGTCACAGCACCAGGGAGAGGACACCTTGCAGGTCATCTGGGACCAGTCCACAGACAACACAGTTCACCTTGGGACAAACAGACACAGATGTCTGGATTACTGGTGCTGAGGGAGTGGAGAAGAGAAATGAACAAGGAAACAGTCCTTTTTCTCACAGAGCAGGGGGAGAGTTGATTTGACTTCTTCTTTTACTTACTTTGTGTTCAGATAACATGAAAATGAGGCTAGGCTTCTAGAACACACATGAGTACAGGGGAAAATGCTGGTTGGACAGGTGCTGGGGGTGCTCTGGAGGGTGAGTCCCCCTCAGGTCTTCAGAGCTCTGCACCCCAGGGGCAGCCAGTTCCAGGACCCACGGCACCCCCGTCCACCCCGCTACCCTCCACTAACCAGTCTGGAAGCGGGACTTCAGCACGTCTGGAGGGATGGCCACCGCCCAGTTGAAGATTCCCGCGATGCCCCCAGCCACCAGGATCCGAGGCACGCTGAGCTCACTGACACTGCAGAACACCAACCACAGTCAGACCGAGGCTGTGAGAGCGGCACTCTGACCGCCCTGCCCGTGGCAGGCGGCGAGAGGGAGAAGCCAGCTAGAGCGAGAAGATCCAAGGCCAGGGTTCCTGTGCCAAGGCAGGTGCCACTTGGAGGAGGAGGTTTCATGCACTTGTTTCAAATACTTGCTCCCTTGGGTGAGGCACAGAGTAAGAGGTGCTGGTTGGGCCTCAGCAGCAACGAGAGGAAAGAGGACATGAAGCCAGAAGCAAGTCCCACTTCTGCCTCCAGACCCACTCTCAGGAAAGCGCACCTACCTACCCGTGGCTGAGCACAGAGGCTTTTAAGTTCTTTTCTCCTCACCTCTTTCCCTCTGGAGTGAGGATATTTTTAAGCCATTCATATGTCATGAAATACATCCCACTGGCTGGAACATCTGTTAGTGGTAAGAAATATGTGAATTAAATGACATAAAATCCTGAACTTAGTAGAGCCACATGTGGCACTGGATTCGTCAAGGTTGCCTGAGAAGCTCCTCAGCAGCACATCCTATCTGCAGTAATCACTGTGCAGTGACCAGATGCCGCGCTGGGGTGGGCACTGGTGCGAGTGAATATAAACACACGGGACATCACTTAATCTTCAAAGTCCACTCTGCCTAGTTCCCAGTGACATGCCCACTCCAAGCAGTTATGGCCACACCTAGCATCCGGCCTTCCTCCCAGCTACCATCTCAGGACAAGGGCGTGGCCATCTCTGCCTCTCCTACTGCCACCCCAGCAGAACAAGCTGCTCGAAACCAGGGAGAGCCCCACGGTTCCTAAGTCACCCTTCTTCCCACTCAAGTCTCCAGTCATAATTTCTACCTACTTGCCACTCCCCTCCACCGGCCACTGTCATGACTCCTACCGGAAGGACGGAAGGTGCCCCCATCTTCATGTGTGCTCATGTGGCCAGAGGTGAGACTGCCTAAAACCAGGACACACGGTTCTGGCCTTGTCAAAGTTGTGGCATGTATGGTGCCAAGGCTAATCTGGCAATCCAGGCAAGACCCTCTGTGGCAAATCCACCTCAGGTGAGCCCCTCCAAGGTGACATCAGGTGGGGGGCCTCAAAGTTTACCTCGCATGAGGGTGAGCACAGTCCCCTTGTAGATGCCTCGGATGCCAGCCTCCTGGTACAGCTTCTTTGCACAGTCTAAGGCACCACTGTATTTGGTTTCCCCTGAAGAAGCCTGAATCTGAGAGGGAGGGAAGAGTCATCGAGTCAGCAAGGGCATCACAGTCAACAGACTCGGCAGGTTACAGATTAGAGACTGAGTAGGGAAGAGGTCATTAAGCATTAGGCCCACACAAGATGACTGTGAAAACAATAGTTATTTAGAATGTACAATACTGGTGCAAGTCACTATGCTAGAAGGCTAGGTGAAAATATCACAAGATATGCACACACTGACTAGAAAAAAATTAAAAGAGGAGTTGGAAAATAAGTTGAAGAACTCTTCAAAACACAAAAGCATTCCCAATAAAGTTAGATGGAAGGTCTAGAAAGAAGGAGACAAATCCATCAATCATTCATTTACTCTATTTCAACAAATATCTATTGAGCACCAACTCCATTCCAAGCCCTAAGCAATCATGAAGCTTGATTAAGAAATGGAGAACTGGAAATTGCATTCGGAGCTCTGTACGTGTATGGATACAGGTCCTGTGCAGAGCAAGGGGAGGGCCAAGGAGAGGCCCCCACTCCAGTCTCGGGGACCCAGGGCCTAAAAGCTTGAAGGCAGGCAGGGGTAACCCCCGTAATGACCTGAGAGAAAGACAGCCCCAAGCAGAAGCCACAGCAAATGCAGAGCTAAGAGGAATCGGAACATGGGGGCATCAGCTAAAGAGTAATTAAAGCTGAAAAGAGAGTTCAGTTTTAACAGTTCCAAGGAGAAACGCTTACAAAATAAATATAAAAATCCAATAATTTTCTTACCTACCAGCACTAACCAGTTGAAAAATAATGGAAAAGAATCCCATTCTAAACAGCAATAAAATGCATGTGCTCCAAGCAATAGGATTTGCATATATGAAACTTTAAAACAAAACAAAAAACTCTTAAAATACCTCTAAGAGATATAAAAGAAGAGGTAAATAAAAAGAGTCATAATTCTGGTTATGAAAAGTTTCCAATCAGAAAGACGTCAAGTTTTCTAAAAATAAAAATATAAGATAATGTCAATCTAATACCAATTGCTTATTTTATTTATTTATTTATTTTTGGGGTATAACTTCCCCAAATGATCCAGGCACATGTGAACCTGGTATGTCTGAGGAACAGCAGGGAGGCCGATGTGACCAGAGGCTGCTGAAGCTGACCCACAGTGATCTGGAACGCCGAAGAGGACTGGACATAGAACTGACATGCTAACAATCTTCTCACTATTTTACAGTATAGACTGTAAGCAGGGAACCAAGTAAGGTGGCCCTCCCAGCTGTCCTGGCCGGTGATGAAGGTAACCTGGAGCAAGGTAGCTGCAATGGAGGTGATAAGAAGGGATGGGTTTGGGATATGTTGAAAGCCAACTTAATTGTTCAACAGGTGGGATACATACAGTGAGAGAAAGAGAAAAACCTAGGACTTTTGCGTTTTGGGACTGAACAGCTAAAAGGATGGTGTTGCCACCACCTGAGTTGCAGAAGGCTGTCAGTCAAGGAGGCTGGGGGAAAACCAGTTCAGTTTTGCACGAGGTGCCTGTGAGCATCCGCATGGCAATGCTGGATAAACTGGTCCAAAGTTCTGGAAAAGTCTGAACTGGAGATGAAAATGGAAGACTTCGACTAATTCTTATACATTATGCAAAAATTAACTTATAATGGGGTTACATACTTAAATATAAAATGTAAAACTGTAAATAAAACTTTTAAGATTTTATTTATTTATTTATTTTAGAGAGAGGAAGAAAGAAAGGGAGAGAAACATCGATGTGTTAGAGATAAACAGACTGATTGTCTCTCACATGCCTCCAAATGGGGACCTGGCCTGCAACCCAGGCGTGGGTCCTGCCTGGGAATTGGAACCCGCAGCCTTTTGGTTTGTAGGGCAGCGCTCAATCCACTGAGCCACACCAGCCAGAACTAGACAAAACTTATAGGAAAAAATAGAAGAAAATCTTCAGGATATTGGGCTAGATAAAGGGTTCTTAGCCTCAATATCTTAAGCACCCAATGCCCAATCAAGAAAAGTTAATAAACTTAACTTCATTAAAATTGAAAATGTTTGCTCAAAAGATTATTAAGAGGATGAGAAGAAGCTATAGATTGTGAGAAAATATTTGCAAACCACATATCTAAAAAAGCACTAGTATCTAGAATAAAGGACTGTCAAAACTCAACAATTAAAAAATAATCCAATTGGAAAATGAGCAAAAGACATGAACAGACATTTTACCAAATAAGATATACGATTGCAAAAACCACAAGAAAACAAGTTCAACATCTTCGGCTACTAAGAAACTACAAATTAAAAGGAGATATCATTACACACCTATCAGAATGGCTAAAATCAAAAATAGAGACAGCACCAAATGTTGGTGAGGATGCAGAGAAACTGGGTCCCTCACACATTGCTGGTGGGATTGCAAAATGGTAAGGCCACCCTTAAAACAGTTTGCTAGTTTCTTTAAAAACTAAACATGCAACCACCATATGATTTAGGAATTATACTCCTGGGCATTTATCCCAGAGAAATGAATACTTATTTTCTCAGAAAAATCTCTGTACATGACTGTTTATGCACGTTTACTCATAAAGCCAAAAACTGGAAACAACCCAGATATCCTTCAATGGATGGAAAGTTAAACATATTGTGGTTTGTCCATGCCAAACATATTGTGGTTCATCCATGCCATGCATCCTTAAAATAATGTGAATTATTCATATATCAACAATATGAATGAATCTCTAGAAAACTATGTTGAGTTAAAAAAGCCAGTATGAAAATTTTATATACAATATGACTCCATTTATGTAACATTCTTGAAATTTCAAAATTATAGAAATGAAGTATAGATTAATGGTTGCTGGGGCGGTTCAGGGCTAGAGCAGGGAAGGGAAGCGGATGTGGTTATAAAAGGGCACTATCAGGGGTCCTTGCTACACTGGAAATGTTCTGTTTTTTGACGGTATCACTGTCAATATCCTGATTGTGATATTGTACTATAGTTTTCAGATGTTACCATTGTGAGCAAACTGGGTGAACGGTATGGGGGATCTCTCTGTATCTTTCCTGTCTTTCTTTTTTTCTTTCTTTCTTCTTTGCATTATTTCTTACAACTGTACATGAATCTATTATATTATCTCAAAATAAGAAGTTTAATTAAGAAATACACAAAATTGAAAGGCCATGAAAAAAAGACTTGTGATATATGATAAGCAATTAATAAGCTTAATATGTCCAGGCTTTTATAAATACATTTAGGGGAAAAAAATGAGCAAAGAACATAAATAGGTACTTCACAAAGGAAAAATACAAGCAACTAATATTCATCAAAATAATCAGGTACATTGTGTGAAATCTGATCACAGAGATCTTCACTCCTGGTATATACTTTGTCACACCACCAGGTAAGGGATTACTGGGTAAATGACAGCCATGTGTGGAATGAAATAAGTTGCAGAAAATTATGCTTGAGAAAAATAATCACAGAAAAATATTATGGTATATCAAGGGGAAAAAGTTCATAATAAAACAATTATAGCAGATGATCCTAATTTTATTTCAAAGGGTAATATTTCTCAATAAATACACGTTTACCAAAAGACTAGAATTCACATACAAGCAGTGGTAACAGTGGTTACCTCAGTGGTGCAGCCTCATGGGTAACAGATACATTATTTTCTTTGTGCTTCCCTGCATTATTGACATTTGCTAGGCCTGACTAGCATGACTTAGTGGGTTGGGCATCATACAGCTAACCAAAATGTTACCAGTTTGATTCCCAGTCAGGGCACATGCCTGGGTTACAGGGCCAGGCCCTCAGTTAAGGGCATGAGAGAGGCAACTAATTGATGTTTCTCTCACACATCAATGTTTCTGATGTTTCTCTCCCTCTCTTCCTTCCTTCCCTTCTCTCTAAAAAGTAAATAAAATATTTTTAAAAATTTTTTTGGCAAGAATTGTGTATTAAATTACTTCAGTCATTCGAAGAAAAAGCATTCACATTTGTTTTTTAAGAGGAGTCCTGTGTGGTAAGGCGGACACCCAGTTCACTGGGCCTGAGAACAAGCCAAGCACTCTACGGGCACCGAGCTGTTGGACAATCCATGGAGACATAAGATGTTGGGCAGGAACAACCTTGCTTTCACCTCTAATGAGACATGACTTACCTTTTAGAGTTTCTGAAGCAGATGCTAATAAGGGTAGATATGTCTGGACTGCCAATCACAAGGGTGACATTTTGGTTGGTCTGTTATACTGTCCTGGTTCTTGATTCTACTATGAGTGCTTCCATGTTCCTGAAAACCTTGAAACTGTTTTGCACACCTGACCTGAAGCCTTCTAAAGGGTGAAAGGATATAAACATCCACACAAAATTGTATACCGAACAGAAAAAGCTAACCATTTCCTCCCACATCACGTCCCCCCACCCCAGACCACACCCTTACCTGTAACAGGCACTTGATCCGTTCTCCTGGGGTCATGATTCCAGTGGTGAATACGCCAGATAACATCCCAGCTGCAAACAGCTGGGGATAGCTGCAGTGAAAACAAAACCAGAGGCAAGTACCTGTGACTACTCAATCAGGACAGAAGCAATCGCAGCAAAGGATGACTTTATAAGAAAAAACAAAACAAAACAAACTTGTGCTGGGCAGAAAGTCCAGCACAAATAACTCATATTTTGCACAAAAGCCAAGTCTCAGGTGTATTCTGAAGTCAAACTCCCCAGGGCAGGGGTCTCTGTGCCAAGAACCACGCAAGGCCCACCTGCACTCTCAGGTGGCCTCACCCATAGGAGAAGCTTTATAGGAAGACATGGTTTCCGTCCCTGCCACGCACAATGGCTATAAACAAGTTTCTAGGCATCTCTGCACCTTGCTTTGCCATTTATAAAATTCAGGGTTGTTGTTGAAAAAAGCCACTAACCTAGGGTCTGGATTTCAGTTGACCCCAGTTCCTCTCCAGTGTCACCTCCTCTGGATCACCAAGGATATGAGAACATTTTAAGCCAAGATTCAAGCAGGAGAGCATCAAGGCCAGAAAGAACAGCGGTAGCCACCTCCACAGGTTGAGGGACACCAGGTCAGTCCTAAGGAATGTACTATATATAAAACACTGAAAAAGGGGACTTCCGCTCAAGATGGAGGTGTAGGTAAACATGCTTTGCCTCCTTGTGCAACCATAGAAGAATTACAACTAGACCTCAAAACAAATAATACCCAGAACCATCAGAAAATTGAGCTGTTTGGAAGTCTGACAACCAAAGACCTAAAGAAGCCACGTTTATCCAGACAGGTGCCTTTTCTACAATAGGCCACACTACTAAGACAGAGAGTCAAAGCAGCTCTACCTAATACACAGAAACAAACACAGGGAGGCTGCCAAACTGAGGAGACAAGGAAATAGGGCTCAAATGAAAGAACAGAACAAAACCCCGGGAAAAGGACTAAACAAAACAGAGATCACCAACCTATCAGTTGCGGAGTTCAAAACACTGGTGATCAGGATGCTCAAAGAACTCACTGAGTATGGCAACAGCATAAAAAAGACCCAATAAGAAATGAAGGTTACACTAAATGAAATAAAGAGAAATCTACAGGGAACCAACAGTGGACGGTATAAAGACGGGATTCAAATCAATGATTCAGAACACAAGTAAGAAATAAGCATTCAACCAGAACAGCAAGAAGAAAAAAGAATTTTAGAAACAAGTATAGTATAGGATGCCTCTGGGACATCTCCAAATGTACCAACATCCAAATTACAGGGATGCCAGAAGGAGAAGAGGAAGAGCAAGAAATTGAAAACTTATTTGGGAAAAGTAGTGGAAGAAAACTTCCTTAATTTGGTGAAGGAAATAGACATACAAGTTCAGGAAGCACAGAGAGTACCAAACAAGTTGGACCCAAAGAGGGCCACACCAAGACACACCATAATTAAAATGCCAACGGTTAAAGATAAAGAGAGAATCTTAAAAGCAGCAAGAGAAAAGCAGAGAATTACCTACAAAGAAGTTCCCATAAGATTATCAGCTGATTTCTCAAAAGAAACTTTGCAGGCTAGAAGGGACTGGCAAGAAGTACTTAAAGTGATGAAAAGCAAGAACCTACAACCAAGATGACTCTATCCAGCAAAGCTATCATTTCGAATGGAAGGGCAGATAAAAGTGCTTCCCAGACAAGGTAAAGCTAAGGGAGTTCATCATCACCAAGCCATTATTACATGAAATGTTAAAAGGAATTATTTATGAAAAAGATCGAAACTATAAACATTAAAATGGGAACAAATTCACAACTATCAACAATCTAAAAAAACAAACTGAGCAAACAACCAGAAAAGCAACAGAGTCATAGACATGGAGATCATCTGGAGAGTTATCAGTGGGGAGGAGGAAAGGGGAGAATGGGGGAAAAGGTGCAGGGATTAAGAAGCGTAATTGGTAGGTACAGAATAGACAGGGGGATGGTAAGAACAGTATAGGAGCTTTGGCTGATGCGGCTCAGTGGATTGAGTGCCCGCCTGTGAACTGAAAGGTCACTGATTTGATTCCTGGTCAGGGCACATGCTCGGGTTGCAGGCCAGGTCCCCAGCTGGGGGCATGCAATAGGCAACCGACTGATGTTTCTCTCCATCTCTTTCTCCCTCCCTTATCCTCTCTCTAAAAATGAATAAATAAAATCTTAAAAAAAAAAAAAAAGGAAAGAAAAGAATAGTATAGGAAATGAAGAAGCCAAAGAACTTATATACATGGCCCAAGGACATGAACTAAGGGCGGGGGTAATTGCTGGAGGGGATGGGGGTACCAGGCAGAGGGTACCCAAGGGAGGAAAACTGGGACAACTAGCATTATCAATAAAAGATATTTTTTCAAAAAAGATAATAAGAAAGGGCCAGACCAGGATGGTACCCAGTCAGGCATGATAGGCCCTGGGGCCCTCTGTGTAGGGAACAGTCCCCCCAGCGGTCAGAGATATGACCCTCACCCTGGCCCCCACAGTATGAGCCACAGTGAGTATTCTGAGGAGGTTGAGGTGAGGCTCCTAGCATCCACAGCTGTCTACGCCATCTCCGGCATCTTCTCCTTCTGGGATTGGCAATACCAGGGTGGTACAGAGGCCATGCAGCGCAAAGCTACCGCAAGTATCTCAAAGCAGTCCCTACAACTTAGCAAATGTTGCTGAAGAACTTCACTTACTTGCCTGCCTAAGTCCCAGGCCCCTCCTGACCCTCAAGCCTCTGAGAGCTGAGCCTTCAGGTCAGTTCCACCCAATAAAGAGCCCAAGACCTGAGGAACGGATGTCAAAGTGGGTAGGGAGACATCCACTGAGGGTCCTTCCCTCCAGGCAGGGCACCAGTCTCAACGGCCCAGTTTCTGCCACGCACTCGCCCAGGCGGGGTTCACACGCCTACTTCAGGCACGCAAGCCCAGGACAAACGCTGACGGCTCAACAGTCGAGAGTCGCTTTCATGCATGGGCTCCTTCACAGTCTCAATTCGCAGTGCTGCTCCCAAGGGAGACCTCTCAGCAACTAAACATCCCCTTATGAGGCCAGCATGCTCCATTCTTCCCCGGATGCCCAGGCCCTAGGCCAGGCACACTTCCATCTCCTGGAATGGGCGGCCCTCCTCAGACCGGGGTCTTTGTGTGTGCGCAGGGTACCATGTAGATACCCTGTGACTGCCTGGCCCATTCTGCCACCCCCTCTGCCACTCCCACCCCAAGGAGGCCTGTGTGGGTGCTGGGCTTCCTGGGCTTCCACCCCAAGGCCCGGTCCTGCTCCTTTCCACAGTCTTCCCAAACACCACTGCCAGGAGGAGATAGTGACTGGGCTGACGCTCAGGATTCTGGACATGGCAGGATTATGGGGGTGAGGTCCCGAGCATCTCAACCTTTGCTTAAGCAGGAAGAGTGTTTCTCTGGTCACGTCACGTGGGGAACACAACCCATAGGCCAAAGTACCGGCAGTGACCCTGCTGGGCTTCTGGCGCATGGCCCTGGCACAGCTGTGAGAACTCTGTTTTCAGGAACTTCTTTGTCGCAAACTGTAATTCTGACTCACCTGCCATTTCATACCCAAATCCAACTTTTTAAAGTTTATTAAAAGGAAAAACACTGATTTATTTCACTTTATCAGAGAGACCCGTGTCCAAAATAATTATAAGCATGTTATTAAGATGAAGTAAAAGATAGAAGTGGGAATCTCTCTTTTCCCAACCAGGTGATAGAAAACAAGGCTGCCACTGTCACCGCTGCGGCACCAGATACTGCTCGGGGCGCCTGAAACACATTTTTATGTTTTAACCTGACACACATGTTAGCATGTAGACCTCACAACACCCCTTGAGACTGGAGTTACTAATATCCCCAGTAAGCGTGATACTGTCTCACTTAAGGAATTATGAAAACCTGGTGGGGGCGGGGATTTTCCTCTTTTGGTTCACAGAACAAAGGAAACTCAGGTAGCTCCCTCATGTGCCATGCGTGGTCTCAAGGGCCAGCCTCTGGGGTGCAGGAGGACAGCCGCTGCCTGTCTCCCAAGGTTCTTCCCTTTAACTCAGGTTACACCACCAGGCGGAGCAGTGTCTAGTGCTGCAGGTTTGTAAGTACTCACCTGAGCACATCTTCTGGGTGTTTCTGTTGCAGTTTCTTCCCCAAACCAAACCCAAAGAAGCACACAGCAAACATGGGGGTGACGCCGATGATGGGGGCAGCCATGCCTCGATACAGCCCCGTGATGCCCTGCGAGGAATCACAGAAGCAGAAGCTGTGTATAGACGCCGCCCTCCTTCACACCGCTGAAACAGGCGAGCAGTGTGTCTGTCTGCTCATCCGAGGCATCCTTCCTTCACCTCTCTGCCAAGGGGAGCTTTTAAAAGGAAGAAAACCTCCCATTTATCACAAATAGCTGTCCTCTTATACACTGTTGGAGAAAATGGAAAACAGCTTTCATTCTGGAAGAAAATCTGGCAGTAGGTAGCAGACCCTTTCACCAGGAAATTCTCTGTCTAGAAATGTATTCTAAGGAAATACTCAGATATGGAAAAAATAAAATAACATCTGGCATTTATCAGGTACCATAATTTTGGAATGACTCTAATAGCTCCCAAATAGGAAGTAAATGAGACAAGTTATAGGAATTCCATAAATGGACTATCACACAGTCATAAAATCACATTGTAACGGGAAGAGACTACTAAGTGAAAACAAAGCAGGATACAAAACAGGATGTTTTGATCTGACTTCCTTGGGGTGAGATTACAGGTGATTAAGAAATTTTTGTATTTTCCAAGTATTAAGACATGGGATTTTTTATTGTTAAAAACAACAGTAGTAAGTCCTGATCAGTGTGGCTCAGTTGGTTGGGAGTCGTCCTGCAAAGGGAAAGGTTGCAAGTTTGATTCCCAATCAGGGTGCACGTCTCAGTTGCACGTTTGGTCCCCTGTCCCTGGTTGGGGTGTGTACCAGAGGCAACTGATTGACGTTTCTCTCGCACATCGATGTTTCTCTCCCTCTCTTTCTCCCTCCCTTCCCCTCTCTCTCCAAATAAATAAAATCTTAAAAAAAACCACAACCCAATAGTAAGACTGCACATCAATTTTCATTAGTATAGTTTGGCAATGAAAGCCACTATGCAGTAGCAATTAGTAGATGCTAAGACAACACCCCAACCAAACAAGAGTAGTAAAGGGAACGGAAGGTCTGGGATCTGGGAGAGCAAAGGTTCAGCCCAAGAAAGGCGAGAGGGACTTCCAGGATGGTTCTGGGTGCAGTGGACCTGCGAAGAAGCCCACCTACATAGGGGTACAAGGAGGGAGGATTCCAGGAGGCACGTTTCCAAGAAAAACAAGGCAAAGTTACAGACACTGAAACAACAGGTAATTACTGTTCATTTGGAGAACCAAGAGAGGTATTATTCCACAGAGCATTCAGGGTTCAGTGTAACAGAGACAGCCATTCCAAGAAACACAAGTAACTGGAATTGACATAGTTATTAAGCCAACCTCAAGAAAAACAAAGAGTTGAACAATAAATGAAATGCACATCATAGCACATTATTTAATTAACAGAAAGAAACATATATAAATATAGTTGTAATCATAAAAACAGTGAATTTGATTAAATGACAAACTAGGATAAAATTCTATGGGCAGGTCAGAAAGAGAGCACAGGTAATATAAGAGTTAAAATCGTCTACCATAAATAGGGAGATAAAATATATAGAAATGTGTGAAATATAACAGTAACTGTGTATTATGTAGCTCCAGAGAAACAGCATAAACAAGTGCAAGAGCTCAAGGTAGTTGTCCCTGGAAAATGCGGCGGACAGGGTTGTGTGTGTGAGGGGTTAGGGTTAGGGTTAGGGTTAGGGCCTTTCAGTAACAAACTAAGTGCTTGTAACACTTTAATAAAAAATAATTTTAAAAATAATTTTAAAAACAAATACAAAAATGTAAAAGCTACTCCTCATGGAGAGTGGCAGGGGTAACCGAGCGGGGCTGCAGGTGGGAGCGTGCCTGGCTGCAGACCCTGGGCACTCACCGCCCTTCTGCCTTCCAGAACTAAAGGGGCACAGCTGTACCTGTCAGCACACCTCCAGGATCCTGCAGAGGTCAATTGCTACTGCAAGCTGTAAGCTGACTCTCCAAATACAAAGAGCAAGTACAAGAGAAAAGGGTGATGGGACAGAGCTAAGGTTTTGAGGAGGATCTAAAAAGCAGCAGGGGACAAAGCCCTTCCAAAGCCCCTCCCACAGCTCCCCACCTGGCTAAGCAGGACGCTCAGGTCCTGAGGGGCCAAGCCCATTCCTCCTGACAATTCTGCTGGCCTTCCCTCTACCGTGCTGGCTTACCCAGATCCATGCAGCACAACCAAGGCCTTTGTCTGGCAGCTCCAGAAAGCAAGAGGGCTATGTTTGGGCACAACACACACCAGGGACACAAGGCAATATGGTTGGAATAAGGGAGCCTGATCAACTCTGCAGGGAGTTGGGTTTACACAAGCCTTTTTCACCAGGCCCCCAGCACCCAGCACATTGCCCAGCTGCTAAACGAGTGCTCAGTAACATTTGTTGACCAAGGGGCATGTAAACCTGCCTCTCTTTCATAAGGGCAGAGGACTCTGAGCAGACCTAAAGCCTAAAGCCTCCATCCTACACTGATCAGACTCTACCCAGGGTGGCACAGATAAAAGAAGGAGTACTTTGCCCTGGCTGGGGTGGCTCAGTTGATTGGAGCATTGTCCCACACACCACAAGGTTGCAGGTTCGATTCCCAGTCAGGGCACATACCTAGGCTGTAGGTTTGATGCCTGGTTGGGGCACATAAGGGAGGCAACCTATTGATGTTTCTCTCACACATTGATGTTTCATTCTCTTTCTCTCCCCTCCTCTCTCTTTCAAAAAAAAAAATCAATAAAAACATATCCTTGGGTGAGGATTTAAAAAAAAATAAAAAGAAGGAGCACCTTACAGAAGAAAAGGCAGTGCTAACTCAGGTATGGATGCAAAATCTTCCTCCCATGCCTGGATCCTTCAGGAACCCTGGGAACAACTTCTCCCCAAGTCCAATTCCATCACTTACCAGCAGAATCTCCTCTTTATCTCAGAGACACCTACTTTTCTCTTTCTGTATATTTAGTAAAAACTATGCACTTAACAGGGCATTAATTCATATGAGAATTATAGTTTAAGAAGAAAAGGAAGAGAAAAATTCTCAACAAGGTCTTTTTATGCATGTGCTAATGAAGTGAGGAATAAATATCACTAGTAATTAAAACTTTCTAAAAATCCCCCGTTTGGACCCTGGCCGGGTGGCTCAGTTGGTTGGAGCATCATCCTGAACACCAATAGGCTGCAGGTGTTCAATCCCTGGTCAGGACACATACCTAGGTTTTGGGTTTGATCCCTGGTCGGCGTGTGTATGGGAGGCAATCAATCAGTTTAGTGTCCCAGTCTCAGGGTTTGAATACTCTGCTGGCCTCTCTCACTATTCCTCAGACTGACTTTTCCTCCAGACTTTTCTTAAACTTCTGCCACTGACCTTTGTCAAACTGATTGATCCAGATTTGCATTGTCTTCCAATTTTCTTCCACTTCTAGTCTCCAATCAGTCCCCACTAATTTCCTGTGGTCTAAATTCTGCCTTCCAAAAAGAGAATCATTTTATTAACTTTAGTCATCCACATAAAACTGGAACTGCAACTAGCAAAGACTCCAGAGCGATGACAGTAGGGGGACATAGGACCGCATGGTAAAAGAGCCACTGCTGGGGGTTAGACCTCCAGCAGAACCGCACAAGGTCAAGACAAGCCCTAGAGGGAGTCACACAGCAACCCGGTGAATGTGTTCCTCTGAGTGAAAGGAATGCCCACCACCGAGATACAATACCTCTCTAATGAGAGTCTTCCGGAAACAGTCAAAGGTCCCAGAATACATGGGGGGCTGTCCAGGCAAACTCGCGGGCTGCGTCTGTAGTCGGACCTGAAACCAGAAGTTAAAATACGGTCATTTCCTATAATCAGAACTGCCTCACTTAACCTGTTGGATTCAGGCTTCTCTTTCCTCCAGTTTATGGAAACCCTGCACTCACGAGTCATCAGGAGAATGCTTTTAGAGACAGTAACAGTTCCTCTGATTTCCTTGTCCACTTACTTTTGCCATTCATTTCTTACCTCATGGATCCCACAATGGCCCAATGGGACAGGTATTCCCAGTTTACAGATGAGGAGAAAGGGTTTAGTGAGTTCAGTAACATGCCAGTAACAAGTTGTGACATGCCAGTAACGAGCTGATGCAAAGCTTAGCTCTAGCCACCACCCACTCCAACATGTAATGGCATGTCAGGTAGTTAGGTAGTTTGGAGCGAGGTGGATTTAATCCCACTCTTCTTGGCCCTCACCCCTCTTGACCTTTTGGTGTGTCCAAGGCTTCAACTGTCTCTTTAAGCCTCCCTTCTTAGTACTTGCTCCTTTGTCTTCTTTTCTACTCCAGACACTCTCCAAGGCTTAGCACCTTACTAATCTGGCCCACTATTCCTTTCAGAAAACTCAGATTCCTGGGCTTCAGCTACTACTGCTCAGTGATTACTCTCACTGGCCCATCTCCAGACTTTCTCTCCCTACCATTAGGGCTCCATTTCCAACTGCCTGGAGCAGCTCTCCCTATTCAAATCAGCCCCAGAATCTCCCCTCCTGATGAATATCCCGTTTGTGCCAGATCCACCTACTTACCTACCCTCTTTCTCAGGACTTGAAACCCTAGCATCACCTCTGACTGCTTCCTGTTGCTCTTCTTGCTCTATCACATGAGTACCAAGTCTGTTGGAGTAGTCCTTCAAGATGCTTCCAGAATCCTAATTTTTCCCCCTCTCTGTCTGAGTCTTCTCCCAGGTCAGGTCCTCACCCATCCTTACCCAATGTAGTGGTTTTCAGTTACGTCCACTAATTCTTTGACATGCTTCCCCTTCAAGAGGTCAATCCTAATTCTCCTCCCCTTGGACGTAGGCCAGACTCAGTGATTTCACTTCTATCGAATAGAATGTGGTGGTATTGGTGCTATGTGACTTCCAAGGCTGGGGAACAAGAAGGCCAGCTTCTGCCTGGCTCCATCACAGGTTAACTTACTTTGGAGGAAGGCAGCCTCTACGTTATGAGGACACTCATGCAATCTGGAGAGGTGACGCACGGAAGAAAAAAGGCCTCCTGACCACAATCAGTACCAACTCGCCAACATATGAATGAACCACATGGGAGTCAGTCTTCAGATGAATGCAGTCCCAGCCAACTTCTTTTTTTTTCCCGTGGGTGGGGGGGGCAGTATCTTTGGTTCAGTATTAGTATTTTCAAACAGTTTCATTAAGATATAATTCACATACCATAAAATTCACCCATTTAAAGTATACAAGTCAATGGTTTTTAGTAATACACACTTGTGCAGCTTTCATTACCATTGATTTGAGAGCATGTTCATCACCCCCAAAAGAAACACCACACCCATTTGTAAGTCACTCCCCATTTCACTCTCCTCTTAGCGCCTGGCAACCACTAATCTATTTTCTGTCTCTATGGATCTGTCTATTCTGTATATTTCATTTATTTCATATGTGGTCTTTCACACCTGGCTTCTTTTACTTAGTATAATGTTTTCAAAGTTCCTCTATGCTGTACCATACATCAGTCCTTCATTCCTCCTTTTCGGTGAATAATATTCCATTGTACTAATTTATCTGTTCACCAGATAAGATACATTTGCATTTTTTCCACTTTTTGATTATTAGGAGCAAAGGTGATATAAACATTTGTGTATGGGTTTTTGTATGGATATGTTTTCACTTCTCTTGGTTATTGTATTGGTCAGGATTCTCCACAGAAACAGAACCAGTAGGATATGGAGATTTATTTACTAATTCAGAAAGATACAGGGTGGGGCAAAAGCAGGTTTACAGTTGTATGTGAAACGCAGAGCTTATTGTTGGATTATTAATTATTGTATTATTTACCATATGAACAACTGTAAACCTCCTTTTGCCCCACCCTGTATATGCATCCCTATATTCATTGCATTATTTACAATGGCCAAGATATAGAAACAACGTAAGTGTTCATGTATGGATGAATGGATAAATAAGATGTGATACACACACACACACACACACACACACACACACACACACACATAAAGACTACTCAGCCAAAAAAAAAAAAAAGAAAGAAATTTTGTTATTTGAAAAAATATTAATGGAACCTTGATAGTATAACGCTAAGTGAAATACGTCAAACAGAAAGTACCATATGAAATCACAAACAAAACAAACTCACTGATACAGAGAATAGATTGGTGGTTACCAGAGGGGCCGGGAGTTGGGGTGGGCAAAAGGGGTGATGGGGGTCAACTGCGTGGTGATGGACAGTAACTAGAATTTTGGGGGCTGCTTAGCACTACCACCATCTGGGAAGAAGTAAACACACAGCAAGTACCATCAGCTAAGCAGCTGATTTCCTGTTTCACAGCGTCCTAACCAGGCAGGTTAATCCTGGTCTTGCCATAGAATGACCTCAGCTCCTCTACTAGGTGAAAGCAGCAAAGAAGTTGCTGCCCAAATCTGCCAAGAGGACAGGTCCTAAAGCTATTTCTCTGTGTTGGAAACACAATCTGAATTCTAACAAGCCCCCTAACAGGCTTCCCACTCTATGAGACTCAGGTCTGCTCCCCAGCACCCTGTCTGTGACCTGTCAATTTCCTCCTAGTGTGTCTCCAGAAATAAGGTTAGAATACTAGGATGAAGCTTTGAATGCTAAGTCACAGAACATGGACTTTGGCCTCCATTAAGTCCTGGCTGAAAGTGCTGCAGAGGGAAGAGCTGAGGCAGGCAGACGTGAGGAAGCCCAGGGAAAAGCCCTGATGAGTTTTCTCCTTCCCAAAGCCTCAGTTTGACCATGGCTTTCTCACCTGGGCGTTGTGAGCATTGGCCTGGCCCCGGACAAAGTTGGTCACAGGCTTCCTTGGCAGGGACTCAGTCACTGAGGACATAACCATTTTCCACTGGAGGCCACTCATGCTAATATGAGGTGACAGGCTGAGGATGGCCAAGCCCCACTCAAGGAGGGGGAAAGGTGGAAGGAGATAGTAATGGGCACTTTACCCCAGAACAATGTGTCAAAAGATATCTTTAGAATAACCGTGCCCCTTCCTGAGGCGAGCTTTACAAGCGACCTGTTTCAGGCTAGCCGATAACGTTAGGGTTTACTGAAATCAGAGCTCGGGGGAGGCGCCTTTTCTTTCCCATCCCCAAAGAAGTGGCGCAAGGTCAGGAGAGGCTACGGGACGGAGAACTTGAAATTACAGTCCTTGATGGCGGGTTAGAGACTGCTCACTCTGCGCGATCCAGCTCTTTGCGGCGTAAGGAACAGCTCCCACGAACCCCTTGAAGGGGCGAAAGGGAGATTCCTGGACTTCTCACGGAAGCTCCCACAGGCCCCCTTTCTGTCCCGGGCCGCGCCTCGCGGGAGACCCTGCTTTCCGCGCTCTGCCGGGGCCTGCCCCCTCTAACCCGCGCCCCATCTTCCTCGCACCTTAACCGTGTCCAGCGGGTGTCCCACGAACACCAGGCACATGCCTCCAAAGCCGCCGGCCAGGAGATTCTTCAGCGGGCTGATGGGCTTCGCCTGGTCTGTCATGGTCCGTCTGTCAGCGTGTCTGCACGTTCCCTGCCGCCTAGCTACACTGTCCCAGGCGCAGCACCGGCCCCGCCGACCTTTCACCCACTTTCTGATGGGCGGGGCAAGAACCCGGGGCAGGTCGGGAGGTGGGCCTAGGCTGCCCCGCGGGGCTTCCGCCGTGGGGCTACTTCCGGCCTCGGCCCCTCCCCGATGGGCGTGGCCTGAGGAAGCTGGGCTAGCCTTGACACCGTCTGGGTGGTGTTTAGGTATCCGTGGGGTGGGTGAATTTACCCAGGAAGGCTTTCCGGACTTAATGTTTCCCCCTCTGTGCTCCTCACGCCTTTACTCACTCGGCAGAAGTCGACTGCCCTCTGCTATGTGCCAGGCGCCCTTCCAGGTGCTGGAGGCATCGCTGGTAGTACAGCACACGAGTCCCTGTCTTCGTGGAGTTTACACCATATCAAAGATAAATAAGTGAAAAATGCATAGTATCAACTAGTAATAACTGATAGGAGAAAAATAAACCTGGAAAGAGGATGAGGGTGGGAGGACAAAGTAATTTACAATTTTAAATAAGTAAGGGAGGATTTCACTGAGGTGACTAGATTCAAGACCTGAGAAGGTGAGGAAGTGAGTCCTGTCCATAGGGTGGAGGTGGAGGTGCAGGGACTTTCCAAGGCACTTTCCAAGGCAGAGGAAAACGCAAAAGCCCTGAGATCCCCTGTGTCTGGTCTGTTAGAAACCACAGGGAGACCTTTGTGGCTAGAGCAGAATGACGGCGAGCAAGAGCAATAGCTGATGAAGACATGGAGATGATGGTAGCATACAAGGCCGACTTTGTCACTGTGAGGACAGCAGCTTCTCTTCTGAAGGAGATGGGAGCCATTCTGGGGTTCTGAGCAAGGCGGTGACAGTCTGACTGAAGAGTTAGTAAGAGCCCTCTGCTGGGGGAGAATAGACTGTAGGGAGCAAGGAAAAAGCAGGAAGTGTTGAGGAGGCTAAAGATCATGGTCGGAAATGCTGGCTTGGATGTGGGCATAGCAGAGGAGGTGGTGAAGAATATTTGGATTCTGTATATATTCTTAAGGAAGAATCTAGACGGATTGTTTTTATTTTTCTAATTGATTTTTAGAGAGAAGGAGAAAGGTAGAGAGAAAAACATCAAACACCGATTTGTTGTTCCACTTATATATACACTCCTTGGTAGCTTCTTGTGTGTGCCCTGATCAGGGATTGAACCTGCAACCTGGGCATATCAGGATGCTTTAACCAACTCAACTAACTGGCTTAGGGCTTGGCTAAATTTTTAAATCTTTATTTCCTGGGGAGAAATTGCCACTAGTTAAAAATGTCATTATTGCCCTGGCTGGTGTTGGTCAGTGGATTGAGTGCCAGCACGTGAACCGAAAGTTCACTGGTTCGATTCCCAGTCAGGGCACACGTACCTGGATTGCTGCCAGGTCCCCAGTTGAGGGCGTGTGAGAGGCAACTGATTGTTTCTCTTGCACAGCAATGTTTTTCTCCCTCTGTCCCTCCTTTCCTCTTTCTAAACAAAAATCTTCAAAAATGTTATCATCAGCCCAATAAACGTTTATTTAATGGAGGAATATTGAAAACCAGGTTGGATCTGTGCCTTTAAGAAACTTACCTTTACCAGGGGAAAGACAGGGGGACAATTTAGGATAATATATAGGATTACAATATATTTTATGTATACGAGTGTGCTAGATATGTAAGCGACCTCATTTCCTTTCTTTTTTTTTTATAGACACCTCCACCTGTATTCTACCAGCCCTTCCAAATCGGTGTGTCCAGAATTATCTTGACAATATCCCTGCAAGGTTGATATAACTCTCTTCATTTTACATATGTAAACACAGGTTCAGAGGTGCCAAGTAGCTTGTTACAATTACTGCGTTGCAAACTGTCATTTTCCACAAACCCTGACTGTAACAAAGCCCTCAGCATTTCCAGTATTTTAGGATGCCGTACTGAGCCCTTCTCGCCAAGCTTAGGGTCTGAGAGAATATAGCTCAAGTAAGGTTAAGTAATTTCTTTTACGTTTGCAGGAAGGAATATCTGAAATTCTGAAATACCTGAAAATATGAGAAGATAATATACATTGGTTGGTTTAGTTAACTGTATGCTGAAGAAAGACAGATATTCCTGCGACCTCATTTTCTACTTTGCAAATGCAATAATTCTATAGAAACACTGTTTCCCTTTTATTCACTGGAGAGGATTTATTACTAGTAACCCAAAGCAATAGCTTCTAATTGACATTTCATTTGCAGAAAATATAATTTGGGTCCTTTGCTAGTATCATAAGTTAAAGGAAGGCCCTGGCTGGGTAGGGCAGCTGGTTAGAGCATTGTCCTGATATGCCAAGGTTGCGGGTTCGATCGCGGATCAGGGCACATACAAGAAGCAATCAGTGAATGCATAAATAAGTGGAACAATAAATAGATGTTTTTCTTTTTCTCTTGCATGCGCTCTCTCTCTAAAATATTTTTTAATTAAAAAATAAAGGGATATTTTCTCAAAACAAGTGCAGTAAGTACACTGGATTATAGTACACTTTTATGTTTCTAATAAACAAAATTCATAACCCTACAATACACTTTAACTCATTAATACTAGTTTTCACCCCTAATTAATTTGGGTCTTTCTAGCACGTATTTGCACCTAATTTAGGTACAGGTTCTGAAATTGGACGCTGACTCTCATGTACACGAAATACACAAGTACATACAAGAAGGAAGAACTAAATTAGAGCGCCCCATTACATAGTTATTTCAAATATCAGTACATATACGACTAGCGTATGGGTAGGAATGGCTTGGGTTATCCATGCACTTGCACAGCCTAGAGCACTGCCTAACATCACCAGCTTCACACTAGCGTTTTCACTCGTGCAGCAGAAACTTGAGTGAGCCTCCGTGGCTCAATCTATCCTTAACAGTTGACAACATGTCCTGGAAAGCATTACAAGTCATAACGGGTAGTTCCTATACTGTTTGAAAAAAGATGTGCAGCAAGGCAGTTAAGATTGTCTTTTACGCTGAATTGGAAGGGGAAGAACTGGACGGCCAATCAGGGTGCTGAGAGGTTCGGCCACCTAGGCGACGGCCTCAAAGTATAGGCGTAATGCGGCCCCGGCGCGCTGACCCAAAGGCCCTGAGGAGAACAACAGTCCTTTATCCACTCCACGGACGTCAAGCTATTATGACCGTGTCCAGCACCGGAATACAAATAGCAACGTGAGGAGTCCATCAGAAAAACGCTCGTTAAAAGTATCCCGGCGGGTGGCGCTCATAGCCGAATGCAGAAAGCGATGCTGTGACTACGCTGCAGTAAGCCAAGCTTTCTAATTTGCGGCTTCCCGCATCCCTCGGAGCTCAGCTTGCCCACCAGATCAGACCCTGAGACGGAGCGCTGCGCTACAAGCAAGCGTCGGCCGAAAGGTAATTATTACTCCGCGCCCGCCGCGACCCCGGCGACCGCCGGTCGACCCCGGTCCGGAAGTGACGCAAACGCGCTGAGCACTTCCGGAGTTACGGAGAACGCTCCGCCGGAGGAAGTAGCGCGGGCCTTGACCGGCGTCGGCCCGCCGCCACCTCCGCCGCCGCCGCGCCTGGGTCCGTTCTCTCTGGTCCGGCCCGATTCAGTCCGGCCCGCCCGGACTCAGCGGCCCTGGGGTCGCGGCCTCCGGTAAGTTTGAGGAGAGAGTTGCGGCCTTGTTTACCGGGCGGGCCGGAGGAGGGGGGTGGGCTCTCAGCGCACCTCCCAAGACTGGCCGGGGCTCCGCCTTCGCCGACGCCCGTGAGGCCCCAGCGCCCCCCGGCAGCCGGTACTTGATCTCAACTACCGCCGCCGTTTGCGGAGGGGCGGCTGAAGTGTACGGCCGAGGCGAGCGAGCAGGCAGGCGCTTGGCGACTCAGTTTTTTTCTCTTCCCAACGCCTTCTCAGCTCGCGGAGAGGTCAGAGGCCATCGCCTCTGACCGACTGGCGCCGGCGTCTCTGGACCCTCCCCAACGGGCGCGTAGGGAAACGCGCCGCCCCCGGGGCTCCCCACTCGAGTCATCGCTGGGAGCTCTCGCAGGGCCGCCCGCGCGGTTAGTTAACGTCTGCCTGTGAGGGGACCCCCAGCGCGTGGGCTCCGTGTCCTCGCAGATACCTCGGCGCCTTGGAAGGTACGGGCGGCCCAGGAGCTGCGCCGCCGCCTCGCCGGACGCCGCTGTGCCAGCCGCGGGAGAGGCAGCAGTCATCTCGGATGACTTCACCTCAGTACTGATTGTTGATCGCTCTGCCCCATGGAACTTTCTGCCCCAGTGGACATATTCTTGACCTTAGCTGTTCAGTAGGGTAGCCACTAGTCACTGGCATTTGACTTGTGGCCAGTGTGACTGTAAAACTAAAGTTTAAATCTTATTTAATTTTTGAGTTAAATTTTTAAAAATCACATGCGGCTAGCAGCTGCTGCATTTGACAGTTCAGACATAGTGTGAGGCTTTAAAACTAAGGTGCTGGTTCATATAATATTTTTATGCCAAATAGTTTTCTCCGGAGATGTAGACTTAATAAAAGACCGTTCAAGGCTAAATGTTATATCTGGAGTAAACATCGTCAGGCTCACCAACAAAATCTCTGTTCTTGTCAACTTTCCGCTGAGAAGCCTTCAGTTTAGACGCTTTAGCCTAGAGTGCGCGCCAGGTCTTTGGCTCTGGGGAAGAGTAATTATTCTTTTCCTGCCTGGGATGTAGGAATAATTAATATCTCAGGAAATTAAAGTGCTGTCATTAACTTAGAAACAATTAAAAATTCAGTGTTTATTTAAGTGTGAACGAGAACACCCAGTAAGTAGAAATGGCGGTCTCCTTTTTCAGGTTCCCTTGTAGGAGGGGACCCTTAAGTTTTCCTCTATTTCTTGAGTATTTAGTCGGTGAGAAGCCTGGGCAACCTGTCAGCCCAAATCCTGGGGAGGAATCCAGAGAAAGCGAAGAGCATTCTCTTCCGTTGTGATTCTGGAGGTAACTTTGGACAATCGTAGGCTCCCCGGAAGGGCGATGGGAAGTTATGAATCACCCGTAGGCCCTGAGCCTGGTGGTTGTATGACGCTGGGCTCTTCTGGTTGCCAGCGGTGTGGTCCTGGGCTTCCTCATTTGTGAGCAGTCGATGATGCCACTTCGTAGGGTTGTGAAGATTTACTGAACAAGACGCAGACCTGAAATTGGGTCTCATTACATGGGAGCTATTGGTAGTGATATTTTGTAGATAGCAATATTCATAGGTCCTGTTTGCCCAGTAAATAGTATCTTACATAAAAATACAAATGAAAAAAGGATTTTAAAAAATCCATCGTTCCTCCACTATTTTGAAAATAATCTTCCACAGTTTTTGGTCAGACTTTGATTTTCATTTAAGTTGTATTTGCCTGTCTGTTTGGAAGTTGTGGGCTCTGGTTTTCAAGAAATCCTAAAGAATTAAGAAACAGACATACAATTTCTAATTGAATAAGCAGGTAGTACCTACTTAGTCTTGAGTAGGAGGATCTGTATCTCTGTGACAGTCAGGTGGCTCTTGAGCATTTCAGAAGAGAGGTGGGGAATGGATGCTGATATTGCCTAGTGGCATCCTGTAGGGGACATTTTTTATTTGAACATACTTTTTTTTTGTGAGTAAAGTGAGATCTGAAATATTGGCAGTATTCAGTCGCGTTAGAGTACCACAACAGAGGTGCTTTTATAGTAAAAGTCCAGTTTTAAGTCAGTTACAATTTACTTTGTCCACACTTAGAATTGAACAATAGGAGTAAGGTGGTTGGCTTTCAAACTGAGGAAGGGAATTGGGTATAAATTTCCATCATCAGTACCCCTGGTTAGATTATTGTCAGCTGTTTACTTTGAATACTTTCCTTTTTTTAAGAAGGCCATGTAACTTGTCAATATAATTGTGACAAATGGATTTCTGTGGCACATACAATACAGTTGACCCTTGAACAATGTGAGGGTTAGGGGCATTGAACCCCTGCGGTCTAAAATCTATGTATAACTTTTTTAAATTGATTTTTAGAGGGAGAGAAACATCGATTTGTTGTTTCACTTACTTATGCATTCATTGGTTGCTTGTATGTGCCCTGACCAGGCATCGAACCTTGGCATATCCAGACGATGCTCTAACCAACTAAGCTACCCAGCCAGGGCTACATATAACTTTTAACTCTCTAAGTACTTAACTAATAGCTTACTGTTGCCCAGTAACATAAATGTTAATTAACACATTTTGTATATTACATGTATTACATCTTATACCATTACAATAAGGTAAGCTAGAGAAAATAAAATGTTAATTATAAAGAAGAGAAAATATATTTACAGTATTTATTGAAAAAAATCCACATATAAGTGGGCCCATGTTCAAGGGTCAGTTATAATTTCATAGTTACTCTGGTCTCTTGCTGTTTGTTTTTCTAAGTATCTTTGCTTTTTAAAAAAATAAATTTGCAAAAGTAGGGTACCAATTAAAAAATATGTAATTAGAATTTTCTCTTTTCATTTTAGATGGAAATTATATGACAGTATTTGGGTGGCATCTTCCTGAAAGATCTTCAAGGATTACAGGTATTTTTAATTTAAAATTTAAGTTCTCTTCTAAAGGAAAAATACCATAGTTCAGTGGTGAACTGGTGGTTCTACCACATAAAACAACTTGTTAAAAATCAAATTGCAAATATTAATTACTGTTCTCTTATGTGATTTTTAAAAATTGGGCATTTATAGGTAATGTCAAACTTAGATTCACTGATTTTTTTTTTTTAAAGTTATAATTAAAATGTGGCTCTACAGTCCTTTAGACTGCTGACATGTTCAGTATACACGCATTTTGTATCTTTGGCCTGTTGTTTTTTTTTTTTTTTTTTTTTTAGTTTATCTACTTCAAATAGACTTTACATTTGTATTTAATCCAGATTTGGTTGTGTAAATTATTTACATACCATTCAATTTAAATGCTCTTGCATTTTAAGGTTGTTAGTTTTTAGATTTAAGTCACTATTTGATACTGTTTCTTGCAAATGATCACTTGAAGTAGTACTTGTGCAGAGAAGTTAATGGGTATTTGCCAAAATCTTCTTTGAGTTGAAGTTAGTACTTGTGATTATTTTGCTTTCTCAACTAGTGTTCTCTGTTCATTTATATGTAATTGAGTAACATTTTGATCTGTGAGCATTTTTCAGTAGCTGTTTTTATTTGAATTTTTCACCCTAAATAGATTCTGGTTTTCCCTAGCCTTGATCCTGCTAAGACAAAGAATATTTGTAGTTCTCCTTCATTAGGTCAATTTCTTTGCCCCTAATTAGGTAACCCTTTTAAAGGATCAGTAAAACCCCTTAAGACTGAGTTAGTTAACCTTGCAGACTAGAGGAAGATGTTGAAGAGCTATGTGGCTTTTTTCCTTTAGTAACTATGCAACTGCGTTCCAGATACTTGAGAGTGGTATCTGTGAAATAGTGATGTTCACCCCGCCCCCCGCTATTATAGTGGAAACTGTGTCCCTACTTATGTACTGTCTTTGTCATCATTAAGTGGAGTGTGATTAGCAAAGAGATTTTAAACTTTGATAGTTCAGCCTTTACGTTGCTTCCCCTGTGGGCAGCTGTGGGGATGTGCTTTTCTCTTAAAGACTCTGGCAGGAAGGACTCATTGACATAGAGCAAACAGCCTTATTTTTTCATGCTGCACCCTTCATGTGAAATTACCATTGTCAGCCACATCTGCCCCTCCAGGAAGGGTTTCCCCTTTGATGGGGTGAGGTAACCTTTATGAGACAGAAGTTGAGAATAGGCCATAGTGAGGGTAGGGCCAGGGTTATACCATTTTAATTCTTGAATGACTTCTGTTACAACTTCTCACAGTGAAAGTAAGTAATACGTATTTTTTTCTTTTTTTCCTTAGAAGACAAAAACACTAATGTATTTGAGAAAGTGGTAAAGATTGGGGGGAGGGGAAAAAACCCTGCTTTCCTGACTTGCAACTTGGCTGGATGCTAAGATGTCTGTGGACATGAATAGCCAGGGGTCTGACAGCAATGAAGAAGACTATGACCCAAATTGTGAAGAAGAAGAAGAGGACGAGGACCCTGGGGACATAGAGGACTATTATGTGGGAGTAGCCAGCGATGTGGAGCAGCAGGGGGCCGATGCCTTTGATCCGGAGGAGTACCAGTTTACTTGCCTGACCTACAAGGAATCCGAGGGTGCTCTCAATGAGCACATGACCAGCTTAGCCTCTGTCCTAAAGGTGAGCAGCGCTGTCAATGCCAAGTGTTATCTCCCCTTAATTAAATCTTAAAGCTTAATATGAGCTGTTGCTAACTAACATTTCCTCCAGACTGATTGAATGGCCCTGTAGCTTGAAAACAAATTTGAGTATATATTGCATCATTTGGACACACTTGATGCATTTACCTTGTTTTCTAATATTTGCATGTCTGAGATGCCCAGATTCCCAGACTGCTGAGAATTAGGAGGGTTAGGGTGGTTTCAGGAAAGATAGACCAGAAGTATGTAGAAGCAGAATTGCAAATTAATACTGGTTTAAGAAAGTGAGTCTTATGAAACTTTTATTAGTTAAGATATGATAAGCATCAGAATCACCATCCTTTACACAGTCCTGTGTGAGTGACTGATAAATGTGTTGAGAAGTATCAAGATAAGCGATTTGCCCTAAATAATCAGTGCCTCTGGGCTAATGACCTCATTTGTTTCATATGCTGGTGACTAATGCTGGAAGAAATCTTATAGCAGTAACTATAAGAATAAAGTAAGTCCTCATAGCTTATGTTTCACTGATTTGAGGGAATTGTTAATATAAAAGTTTTTAAGAATTAATAAAGTTGGTTTTTCCAGCAAGTATATTTTTAATTAAACCTAAACTATGTTTATTGTCTTGCACCTCGGGCCAGTTACTGTCCTCACTATGAACGTTTTGTAGTATGTAATATTGTACTAGCATGTAGTATACTCACATAGAACAGTATGTATTATGAATAATTTTACGATCATGTAGACAATTTCCCAGCATGTTTCTTTCTTTAATGTTGGCCATTATGTGAAAATGGGGATATTTTTCATATTTTACTGTTTCCGTTGACCTTCCTTCAGGAACTTTGTTTTCTGCTCAAATTGAATGTCAGGGATACATTGGGGTGATTTCAACCAAATAATCTTGTTGTTATTTAAATGGAAATAACTAAGGTGTGGTATGTATGGTTTCTCTAACAGTTTATCTACTAGTTTAGGATTTTCCCCCCACGCAGGTGGTCTGAAAAGGCTAATAATACTTTGGATTTAGATACTCAGGGCATTTTAGCAACTAGCTAGAGGCTGAATGCTAGAGGTTTTTTGTAACTTACTCTCAGGAGTGATTGCAGACTTTCTTTTCTGTGCTTAGCAGAAAAAACTGGAGAATGGAGACCCATTGGAACCTCTGGGTTCGGGATTTCTGCGCCATAGCTATAGCAAAGCTGCTGGGACCTATGATTCTAGAGGGCATTGCCCTAGTGAAATGACACACCAGGTTTCTTTCTTCTCCCCCTGAACACCTCTTCCTATCTGGTCAGCTAGCTTCTTTTGCTTTAATCATATTGCCCGGTTATGTACGGTGTTGGTACTTAAAATTAGGAATTGTCAAGTGTGTGGCTCTGTGTTGGACAGTATTAGTTGACTAAGTTCCTCTGAATGTTTCCATCTGTGCATATGAATCCTCAGTTTGTCAGGCCCTCTCTGCCGACTTTCCAGCCGTGCTAGAGAGAAGTGAGGGGCTTAGGCATCTCTTTCCATCTTTTTTTTTTTTTAACTGTGATAAAATATATATAACATAAAACATTTTTTAAAAAGATTTTATTTATTTATTTTTAGAGAGGGGAAGAGAGGGAGAGAAACATCAATGTGTGCGCCCTCGTGGGGACCTGGCCTGCAACCCAGACATGTGCCCTGACTGGGAAATCAAACCAGCAACCCTTTTGGTTCGCAGGCTGGCGCTCAATCCACTGAGCCACACCAGCCAGGGCTATATAACATAAAATTTACCATTTTACATCCTTCCATCTTATTATGCTGACATATGGTCAGCTCTCTGAAAAGCTTTCTCTCCCTAAGAAGCTCTTCCTCACCTTTTAGTCCTTTGGGGCTCCTTCAGAGTCTAACTTATGCTCACCCTGAGCGAGTCTCCTTAAGAACCCCTAGAAAACAGTGGTTGTACCCTCCTTTAGTGTCACTGCCCAGGTGTTACAGCCCATGTGTTTTACCTTTTCCACATATTGTTGTATGATTTCTTCAACTAGAGTGTTACTTATTGGAGGGCAGAAACTGCTTTATATATTACATCCCCTATCATTCCTGTCACAGTGTTTAATCCATAATAGGCATTGATTAATTTTTTTGGATACTTGCGGATTTTGTCAACTGTTGATGATAGTAGCTGATGCTATTGGTGTGAGCTAGATTCCCTAGTCCCTGCTGAACATCCTCTACTATAATGAAAAGGCATTCTGGCCCTCAAGCTCATGAAAAGAAGGAGCAAAAAGAACTTGGAACAGAGATTAAGGAATAAAAAGTGATGGAAGAAAGTTGAAATACAGGAAAGAGTAATAGAAAATGGGGCAAAAAAAAAAAATAGTCTGTGAAAATTTAGATATTGGAAGATGCCCGCCCCTGCCGAGGAGCACGTTAAGATCATTTTCATTCTGGGTCTGGGCAGCAAGGATCCTGGCTCTTTTGGTGGCTTGGCTGCACAGAAAGGGACTCAGTGATGTTCTAAGTGGTTTTGGAATTTGACCAGAGAGGCTAGGCAGAAACAGCATGGTTAAGAATAAAAAAGATTCATGGGTTTGGATTTATGGCAGGCCCATCCTGCTGGGTCTCTCATAGTGTCTCATGCCAGAGCAGACTGTGGCCTTGAACCATTGCTTGGCCTCTGCCCTAGGCTGCCAGCACTGAAGTGGGTTACACAGTGGAAAATAAGTAAATAAAATAAAGGAGTCACATGCAGTCTTCCTCTTTCAGACTGGCTAAAAGCTAGTGTTTTTATTTTTATAATTAGTATTATTTTTGAGGTGGAAGGGAATAATTAAGTGCTAAGTTAACAAAATGGTGTTCACAGGTGCTTTGGCTACAGTAGCTCCCTTGTTGCATGTGTGGCTGTGACTGGAGATCAGTAGTCTGTCGCCCACATTACTGCTGATTTCCCACATTGGTCATGGTGCTGTTTATACGACTCTGTGACATACTGAGATATTGCATTCTTTCGTATGATTTAGGCGCCTTTTGGCTAGTAGGAAATGTGACATGTATGTTGTTTAAAATTACAGTTTTGTGAAAAGCTGTCCATGAACAAAGCTATCAAGTTTGAAGAGTTGCTCGAACTTTTCACTATTAACTCAAGTCTGTGTTACTCGTTTTGTGTGTTGGCAATTGCCTATGGATGAGCCATAGTCTAGCATAAAGTTAAGCCTTTTATTGCCTTTGGGATTTGATGTCTCCAGTAGAAAAACCCCAACTCTGGGAAGCTGAGCTTTTGGTTTAATGAGGGCCTCTGGGCTGAGAGGGTAACTAAGTGTTCATGAGTAAGGTCATTAGTTGAGAATGCCCAGAAAATCAGCTCAAAGGCTGAGGATGGACAACAGAGAAAATGCTTATCTATTACTGGGGGGAAAACCACTATTCAAATAATGGCAAAACAAGAAGCATTGTTTGCACAAGAGCTATCATCTACAGAAGTGTAATAGAGATAAGATGTTTGCCAAGTGAAGTATTGTGTTGTAGGAGGGGAAAATCTGACAAATATTTTTAGTGATCATACATGAATCTTTAAAAGAAAAGTTTCCTTTTTAAACACTTTTTTATGAAACAAAGATTATTTTACTGTTATTGTTATAGATGAGAGAGACCTTTTCTAGTAATAACAGGCATTTTTAATACAATACTTGTAATAGTTAGCTAAAAAGAATTTTGTCTTTCAGTGAATCCTGTTAGTACTGTTCCATGAAACTCAGGAGGCATTTGCTATCAAGCTGCTCAGGAAGGGGCTCAACCGTGGTAGAGTCCCAGGTGGAGCTCAGGCCACTTTCCTGGGTGATGGAACAGAAGTGTCTACTGCAGTGTGAGCTCCTTCTCTCAGCAGCATGTTGGGGGTATATGTGTGTGCGGGGGGAGGGGGGCGCCCCACAGTGTTGTATTGGGCCCCACCCAATTGCTTAAGAAGGGAGAAGAGATCATTTACTTTGGGCTAGATCTAATGTACAGTGAGCTATCTGAGCTTTGTGTTGACAGGAGAACCTTGAAGGTTTGGTAGAAGGGCAGTCAGGTTACTGAAGTCCAGACCCAGTGATTTGATAAGCGTGAGGATAGGAAGGTTACCTTCTGGGCTGGGGTGGGAGACTAAGGTGTACAAATGAACAAATTGTGGAGGATCATAAATGCAATCTGAAGTGTCTTTACCATTGGGAGGAAGGAACAGATTTTTTAAACCTCCACACTGAACTTTGCGCTGCTCACTTCTCAAGCATCTGCTCGCTTTTCAAGCCTGGTATTCCCCAGGTAGGATTGGAGAAATATGCTGGTTATTTTAAGTGTTTTTATTACCATTCTTCTTGGTCTCTGAATTGCTGTGTTCACTGCAATAGAACTGGGAAAATGTTCCCAAGAACTCTGTTCTACCCCCCCTCTTGCTTGAATTTGTTTTAGTTTGTTATTCAGCGAAATATGGCTGGAAAATGTTTTAAGATTTTTTTGTGGATTGTTATTTCCCTTTGTGGATGAATCATAATGAGTTTTCAGAGCTTTTGATTCTTAAGTGCAGAAGTCTTTATAGTCCCAGTTTCAAAACAACCTGGTTTCTATGCATTTGCCACTTTTAACAAGCAATTGATGTTCTTAACACAAAGTACCTCATATTTAGTCTTTCACTAAGTGGCACTAAGTTCTTTTATATCTGACAATGCCTTAAATTTTATTTATTAAATCAACTTTTTTATATGCTGATGTAGCTGAATATTAAGGCTTTTATTTTTACTTACATATTTATTATATATTTTTTTTGTTATTACTATTCAGGGTAAAGTAACTTTAAGCTGGGCACAGTAACACTGTTTGTGTGCTGAGCAGCCATCTGATTTCTATTTTTATGACCTGATGTCAGGTTCCTTTGCATGCCTGTATCTTGGTAGAATCTAGATTGAACCCCTGTGTTCCAAATAGTTGGTTCTTAGTGGGTGTGTTGACATACTTCATAATGCTGTAAGTCTAGAAGTCTGATATGTATTTTATTGGAAATGTATAAATTTATTTTTAAAAGGGAGATGAGAAATGTCCAAAGTGACATTGAGAATTGCCTGAGTAGAACTAGTGCTGGAGTCGTCCCTGTCCTGCCAGTTTACAAAGGTTATTGTCATCATTGACTTCGTGTGCTCACTGTGTACTTGGCACCACACACAACATGCTCACTGCCTTCCAGAAAAGAAGCTCTTCATCAGAGTCAGGGCCAGCTTTCATTCTAGTCTTTTTGTTGTGCTTCCACACTACCTTGGGAACCATGTAAAAAACCATGTGTAATCAAGGGGTGATTCTAATCCCACACATGTATCTTAATCCTGGATTTATTTATATTTAATTTTTTTGTTGATGTTATTGCAGTGTTAAAGAATATCATTCATAATTCCATTAACCTAAAATTAATTTTCCTCCTTGTTTATTCTTCAGATATTGTCCATATTCATACATAATATAACTATGCTGTGATTCATTCATTCATTCAACCAGTATTGTCAGACCTACTATGTGTCAGGCACTGGAAAAATTAGCTGTGAACAAAATAGTCAAAAATCCCTACCCTGGTCAATATTACATTCCAGTAATCAGTATGTACATGTATTTTCATGTATATTTCAGACATTTCCTCATTTTTACTTCATTGTCAGATTATTTTAAATGACTGTATAGCATACAATCTTGTTCTTGAACCATAATTTGCTCAAGCTTTCCCCATTGGGCATTTAGGTGAATACTTATGTGTTACAGCTGTTACATTGGAATGTTATATTGTTGTAAGCATTTTCATGGAATGTGGCTTTTGTGTATGTTGGAACTTAGCCAGAGCCTTGGCTAGTAGTCAGCTGATTGGGTTTTGGTCCCTTTTCAACCATTTAATATAATGTGATCTTGGGCAACTTTTTCAATATCTCTATGCTTTAGTTTTCTCATCTATAGAATAATAATAATACTTCCTTTAGAGAGTTAAATGACATCATGCATGTCAAGTGCCTGGCACATCAGTGTTCAAGTAAATGCTTGGTTATGGTGGAGGGCAAGAGCAGAGCAGTGGGAATGTTGTTTTCACATGTTTGCTGGGGTTCCTTAAAACGCTTTCTCAGGATTGTGCCGTTTGAGTCGTGGGGTGCGAGCCACATGGAGGAAGGCTCTAGGTGACATATTGCTGACTGATGCCTCCTAGTGTGCTTGTGGTATTTGGGTCATGTACGTTGGATTCTTTTGCCTTCATCCAGAGCCTCCGGTGCCCTTCTCCTGGGGCTCACTAATAAGAAAAGTAAAAGTTACGCAAACTGAATTTTGAATTGGGACCAGGAAAAGCATACAGGGATATATATATATAGTCTGTCAGTTGTGCCTACTTTCTGGTTCGCTGTGGTGTTTGGTTTCGTTCCTTGCATTGACAGCACTACTTGATTAAATGTTTAGTTGATTTCGGGGTCCTTGTTACTGAGGTAAACCCCACCCCACCCCGCCACTTTAACTTTTTCCTCTGTCTCTAGCTCTGTCTCCCTGGCGCATGCATGCCCTCTCTCCCCTCTCATTTATATTTTACTTTGTCCTTACCTCTACTACTCTAGGAAAATTTTAAAGGATTAATTATCTGCCCAAAAGAGGGAAGAGTTGTAGGAAAGATTTGAGAAAGGCAAAAGCTTCTTATGTTGCTTCTTCTGAAATGTGTCCACCCTGTGGCTTGATCTTAAACTGACATTAATTGTAAGCATTTTTAAGCTTTTCTTGGAACTCTCTGTCACAAACCTTTATAAACATGAACTGGTTTTACTGCGGTAACTACAAGTTATCAACCATAAATAGAGGGAAAAAAACAGGCAGGATGAATGAGAGGTTTGTTTGAAGATTTTAACAGGAAAACAAAACTGTTCTTAAAATTGAACAAAGAGTGGTCCCTGTATCTGGGAAAATTACTCTTTGACTAGCAATTTCTTTTCTGGCCAGTATTTGCTCTACCCACTCTCATCCGTTATTGTAGGCTTTTACCCATCTCTTCAGTGCTCTCACAATTTATTTTCCAACATCTGTATTTAGCCTTGCCTCCTTTTGCAAGAAATAACTCCAATGCCATTAGACTTTGCTTCTTGGATTCTCTATCTTAATTGTTGATACCACGATTCACGAAGCTGGAAACTGAAGAGTTGCCCTTAACTCTTCTCCCATGAAGCCCTCCTTGATTCCCATGGTACAGTTGGGCACTCTTGTCTCTGTACCACCGTGTGCATGTTTCTTGGTATGTATTTGGACTGGTTGTACATTAGTGCTTTATAAACCAGGGCTTGAACTCTTTGAGATAGAGGCCTACATTTTTTTTCTTTGCATAATAGCACCTACCAAAATGCCTGGTTATGTTTTGTTCTCAGTAAGTGTTGCTTATTGTTAATCTGATTGTGTAAGCCCAGTCAATAAATCCAAAAGTTGAGAATTAACCAAGAGCTCTATTTCTGTATGTTCTCATTTGCAAATAGAGGACATGCTTGTCAAAGGGCTTCCATGAAGCCAGCGGATTTCTAAGTAGAGATAGGATATACTTAATGGATGTATGGTTCCCATCTTGGGGTGCATGTCAAAATTAGTTTGGGCAGTTCTGATATAGAAGCCTGAACTGCATGCAGATGTAATGAAACAGACTCCTAAGAGATGAGATATTTTACATTATTCATGTGTAAGTACAAA